AGACCGATGTGTCATATTCTATTGACCTATCATCGTATGTTGCAGCGCTTAGACTCAGGTCTCTTAGAGTCAAATTCCAGAACAGACTATACCTTCCCTCATGTTCTATTGTGATATAATCACATCTTAAAAGGCAGCATTCCTAGCTACAAGCAACTATCGCGATACCTCTACCGATCGCTTTGATTGTCTTTCACTTCAAGCTTCTAGCTTAAGTCAGATGCTACATCGGACTTGGTCCTCTGAACCATTTAACATACTCGTCTTAGTCGGACTCAATTTGATATGACCACTAGGGTCGGAATAACAATCATCTTCTTAGTCATTACTGAAACAATGGTAATGACATACATGAATAAAACGGAATCAACTACTAGCTTCTTGGTAACCTTGTGACTTTCCCTGATCCAAGCGTGAGTCATGTGCTTCCGGTAGTATAGGCCTGTACTACCTTTCACACCTACTCATACTCGTCCCAAGTATTGTCTCGCAGTTTTCCAAGTTACTATCACAAAAACAATTTTCAACACATACAAATGTGTCCTAATAATCATAAAAATTTCCTAGACTCTACTAGGACTTCTTCCATGTGTATCGTCAATCATCCATTCTGCTTCAACTCGGTTGTCAGACAATGGGATAGCTTCATGGATTATACCAAAAATCTTTCTTTTTGCTAATCGAAAGTGTACTTCTCCTGTAATAGACGTATTATTTATTAGACGCATTCTAAAGGCAAGATATCACTCTTACGATATCTTCCGATAGGTATCATTCACTATCGTAAGCCTTCTCGATCATTTCCTCGCTTTACTCAATTCACTACGAGTCTTCACCATGATGTTCTACACACCAAAGCAGGTGTTCGGTGTATCAAGACGAGAATATAGATAGAGGAAGATTTAGACGCGTATTTCCTCCTTATTACTCCGAAAAGTTACATGCCAGTTCTAACACCGTAATTAAACGTTTAGAAATCTGAACACATAAAATTTCCAGATCCGGTCGGCAACAAACCATAAATCCGATCAAACGATGACATCATAAAGCATATAAGGCAGCATAAATCACTTAACACATAAAAGCAATTTAGTCATCTTCCCTAAATAAGCTAGTGCTTGTGTCAATTCCGGTGTATTACCTAAATTTTATTAGACACACTCCTCACAATCATCTCTTAGCATTCTAAGTTTAAGTCTAGAAATAAATCCATATTCCTAGTGAGCTTAAACTAATGCTCTGATACCAACTGTGACATCCCCATTTTCACGGCCAGAAAAGACCGATTTTGTTTATGCTTTATAGAAATCAGAGTAGTTCTTTTAATAAAAATGTTGCGGAATTTGTTCCCAGAAAAACATGATAAATACGTTATCAAAGCATTTCCTAAGAAATGTATTATATTCATTTTAAAACATTTGGGATGTCATCGTCAATACAGAAACATAAGAATAAACAGAACGTACATTTATTTACACTAGTGATCTACACACCTTTAATCTTTCAGTGTAAAGTAGCTTCATATCGACACCTGTGATACAAATAAGCTTGAGTGGGTCAGGTTCGGAAACCTGGTGAGTACATAGGGTTTTCAACCCACAATAATATAGTTAAATTTGTTTCTTCACATAATACATGTTAAACAATTAACCCGATTGCCCATCCCCATTTTCTTCATTTAATATTCCCTAAAGAATTATCTTAAGGGTCATCTCCTATATCGTATTTACCTCTCATCTCTTTACATCACATTTCCTTATATGTTCGTTCCTAAGGACTTTTCCTGAGGATCATTGCCTACATCACATAATCAGTAATGATTCGGGGATTACTCCCTCAATACGCACCTAGTAAGTGTTGGAGCATCATCACATGAATACGTAGTTACAACATCTCCTGAACTCGTAATTCATAGTAAGGGTTAGAGTATCATCACATGAATACGTAGTTACAACATCGTCTGAACTCGTAATTCATCACCTACAGGTTATGAGCCTGCTGGTGTTTCCACGGGGTTGTCTAGAATAGTCCGTGGTCACCATCTATACTCTGGTAGATGACTACATCTCCACATTGCCGAACAAGGTTATGGTATATTTCATCCTACATCCCCAATTCAGCATCACCTATCTACCCTCACCTAATTATCATCACCTTCCTATCATCACCTATCTCTCATCATTTTATTTCATTACACACCAACTATTTCATCTACCCATGTCATACCCAACATATTTGTAGATATTAAATACATATACAGTTTAAAATCATTTTAAAAACATGTAATAAATCATTCATCCAGCATAGACAGCAAGTATTCAGATAGTATGCACACATAGCACGTAATTTATATAAAATACTTCATATCTATGTGTAAGATGAAAGTAACTATGCACTCACTTGATAAGGTGGTGACTCGGTACTCGGACAACGCTTCGTTTACTTTAAAATAATTTCTTTCGACGAAACCTAGTATTATTACCACTAGATTTTAGTCTAATACTTACCGAGACTAATTATTAGTCTTATTATTATTATTATATAAGCGTTTAAACAATACTTTCCAACCACTATGTATAGACAGGGCCAGACATAAAACACCGGAGGGCAGAACCATTTTGGCATATAACACTTCTGAATCCAACAACCCTATGCGACCCTTTAAACCAGATTCTCCGTACCGCGAGTAGTTAAAAAGATATTATAACGACACTTATATAAATTATAATAATAGCTCAAATATTTATTATACGTTCATAATAACAATACTAATTTTAAATATAAGCTATATTAAAATAGGTAAGCATAACTTACTTACAAGGGGGTTTTAGCTAGGAGTCAGGCTCTGCAGGGGCAGAACTTCGTCGCTGAATCTTTCTAAGAAAGATTTGTGCAGCGCTTCAGCGCTCACCTTACTATACTAAAACTACAGAAAGAGAAGTCGAATCACGAGGGACCGAAATGCTCGGGGGATAAGAAGAGAAAGCCTATTGAATCAAGAGAATGGTGCAAGAAATATGAGAGCCCAAGCCTCTTATTTATAGTAATTGAATTTACAAAAACTACCCTCCATAATTACTTAATGACCTTATAGTTATATAAACGACTAAACACCCCTTCATAATACTATTTTAAATAGATTTAACGATATTTGTACTAAACTAATGTCGAAAGTACTCAACACTAGTCTTATAATAACCGCATCGTCGATACCTTTCTAATGATATATACATTTGTATATATATGTGTACGTATATATGATTTATACTTTATTTTAATACGTAAATATGCTATTAAAATTTGTAACTCGTTCATACGAACTCCATTTTTGACGTTCTTTATATCCACGCGTTGGTATTTACGAGTACTACAACTTTCATTTAGACGCCATCAGCTAATTCTCATTCTATCTCAGATTTACAAAATTGTATCGAATTTATCGCGCTCGAAGAGTAGGGACCAAGTTTCGTCCATATCTTTAATTCGGACATTCTGACAGAATACGTTTACGAGTATATTAAAAAATAAAAATATTATTGAACCATAAATAATAAAAATATTCTTGAACCTATTTCTTGATCATGAATTTTAAAACTTGTTGTAGAATAACAAATTTTTGAAGAATCAATTGAAAAATAAAAAACAAAAAATACACTGTTTCTTATAGAATATGGGAAAGAAAACATCAAAATCTAACAACGACTAATACATTCTAAAAGAATAATGTGGTCCGTTTCAATTTTGTGGTCCGTTCTTCAAGCATCAACTTCTGTGATTCCAAAAGAATTGGAATTCGTCATTCCATTCCAACAGAATTGGAATTCGTGATTCCATTCCAATAGAATTGGAATCTCACCAATATCATCCATTGAATCATCTTTATAAAACATACTTGATACCTTTTCAGAATTTAACCTTGTCAATATCCTGCACTGTCCACATAAATGAAGTGTTAAATCAGGAAAAAAACATAAATTGAAATATGAATCAATTCATAAAATGCAGCCAAAAAACTGCTCATTCTGATATGCATATTAGTCCTAAATAAAATTAAACCACTAAAGGATGTCATCTTATAGAGCCTAACGAGACTATCTTAGTAGATAATATAAAAAGAGCTAACACCATCTTGGGATGACATATAGAGTCCTACTCACAAAATTGTTGCACCTCCAACAAACCAATGTACTTTATCTCTACTTCAAAACGTTCTGATGCTGCTTCTGAACTATGCATAGATGATAGATGAATTGCTAAATTAACACCATCTTGGGAGCAAATGGAGTACAAATTGATGCCTGTTTAAGCTGAATTGCTAAATTAAAACACTACAAAATACTAAAAAAAAATCAAAAATTTTACCTGTAATTTGCACAAACAACTTTTCCAGTAACAACACAACACTAGTACACAACACATATTTATGAATGCAATTAGCTATTTCAAAGTAAGTGCTTAAAGAACTAACCTCCCTTATGCAAGCTACATGCAAGCTACAGAGTACGAGAAACAGAGAATGAAAAGAATTGAAAAGAACAAGGCGAGAATGAAAGCAATGGGTTTAGACACAATAGCGTCTTCGTTTATGGGTCCGGTTCCTATTTCTCGAAACGCAAACAAAAAGGGCAAAAAGAAGGTGGGTTTGGAAGACGGTGAGGAGAATAAGCCACCTGTTGAGGATGAGGAATTCAGTTTTGCAAGTGAATCAGATGGTGACGAGTTCGTCGATGGAAATTGATGCAAATACGAGGCAGCAGTCGCCTCGCGTTCTTCCTGTCGATGGAAGATTATAGCCAGAGTGATGGTGGTGGCTGTTGGTGTTCGGTGGCGATGGTGGCTGATGGTGTTGGTCGGCAAAGGGGCAAGCTCAAGCCTCTTATCTTTTTTGATCATCGGCATCGACGACTAGGGTTAATAAAGAAGAACGATGTGTGAATTAACACGACCCGGAAAATACTCTCTCCTCACGAATCGACCGACTATGCACTGCCTGTGAGCTTATGATGCCTTCAGCTTCTTCCCCAATCCGAAATAGCCCTGTGTCCTCCGCCATCGACGGTATCTCCATTGCCGTAATACTTGTAGGTTTTATAAACAAGAGAAATTAGGTTAAAAGTCAAATACCATAATTATAGGGATTATTTTTGGTAGTTACTAAACAAATTACTATATTACCCTTATTTATTTATTTAATTATTTAATTTTTTATTTAATTTTGATTGGCCCACATTTATGCATACAATAACACAATAATTAGTTTAAACAAATGAACCTAGCTATCTCTCTCTCTCTCTCTCTCTCTCTCTATATATATATATATATATATATATATATATATATATATATATATATATATATATAAAGAGAGAGAGAGAGAGAGAGAGAGAGCTAGGTTCAAATGTTTTAGCAAGTATTGTGTGCATGTATGCACCAATGAGAATTCAAGAAAAAAATAAATCATTAATGTAAAAAAAAGGGTAGATGAGTCATTTTGTTTTTATAAACTAAAAATAAATTCTTATATATTTGGTATATCCCTTAAATCACGTCTACTATTGTTTGAGTTGTTTAAAATCATCGTATCCACAACCCTAAATGCACAAAGAGGGGACGTGTCTTCTTCAACAGATCGGGAATAAGGAACGATCGAATGGGAGCAGTCAAAAATCAAGGGCACTAGTGAGGGTCAAACAGATTCGCAAGGAGGGCTGAGAAAGGGACTTCGGTCCTCATCGTCGTCTTCATCAGATCGAGAAGGCATCAGGCGATTTTCACGTTCGTTTTTCCAGCGCCGTTTGTTCCTCTGGTGGCGGATTAGCTCGTGGCTGGTCTTAATCTGTTCGTCTCTTCTTCCTTATTCCGTGGATATTGTTGGTGTTGTTCTCATGGAGGGGGTTCCTCCTGATTTGGAACCTGATGTTATTATGAAAAGAAAGGGGAAAAATGCGAACCCGAGAAACAAGCTGAAAATCGATTCTATAGAGGCTTCTAAGTTGCCGTCTGATCCTCTGAAAGCTAAATCAGTCACTCTTCTTGTCAATAAGTTTGAATCAGAAGTGAAATCTCCTATGATAAAAGGGATCGAGTGATGTGAGTAAATCTGAAGGCCCTAGGTCTGGAGTGAATTTGGTGGATTCCCTTTTGGATGCTGGATGTGATGCGATTTCTATTGAGAATAAGGGCTTGGGATTGTCGAATGGTTCTGAGGGTGCTGTGATGGGATCGAAGATTTCTTCTAAAGTGGTTATGGCTGATATCGCTCGTTCTCCAATGGTTAATCATGTCATTCGCAATCCAATTAAGAAGGAGGACGGAGTGATATAAGGTTTGAGCTCCCCTGTGCTTGAATTTGAAAAAGACATTGAGCAACCAATTATTTATTTAGTGCCTACCAACTGTTTGTTAAAAATCCTAAGAGACAAGATTTTTGTTTTTCATGTTTTTCACAGGTTTCAAGATTGGCCAAGGGATAAGCTGTCATTATTGAGAATTTAAAGAATTTAACCTTGTGATATGCATTCTGTCAGAATTACTAGCAACACATGTTTTATGTAATTGGTTAAAAAGATAATTAATTTGTCTGTGTATTATTTTGGTTCAATTTGTGATTTTGAATTTCAATTTCTATTGTCCCTCGTTATTGTATTTTTGAAATCTAAAATTATATTAGCAGTAAATACAATACTTTTGAATGTATTCTATGTATTCTATCAGAATGTATTCTACCAGAATAAAATCGATGTATTCTGCCAGAATGTATTATATGTATTCTGTCATATTCTATGTATTCTACCAGAATATATTAAGTGATAGTTAATTGCAAGTAACATGTTTTTAACAATTATTGGTTTTTGTTTTATTTGTGATAGGAATGGCTGGAAGAAGACGTTGAAGACCTAATATGAATAACTTGAAGAATGAATAAAGTTTGATCATACTCACAATTTAAGAATGTTGTTATTTTTTTAAGAATTTTAATCATTTTTGTTGATATTCTTTTAGAATATGTATAATTATATTAAAATGTATAAGGATTTTAGTCTGTAAAAATATGTATGAATTTTGTATTTAAGTTCGGATGTATAAGAATATATTAGAATGTTTGTTATTTTTCAACATCTGATTCAAGAATTTTGTTTTTCTTCAATAATATTCTATTAGAATAAAATTATGAAAGAGTATCATTCTAACAAAAAATATTCGGACAGAATAAAATCGGTAAAAATTGAAATTGAATTAATTAAAAAATTCAGATTTTTTTTTAAATTAGGAGAATTAATCATCCCTAAAAATCCGAAAATTTCCTTTAATAAATGTAGTTAATTGTCTAAAATACCCTTTTGCTAAAAATTGTGTGATTATATGGTACATGTTACCCCATTGTAATATCATACACTCTCAAATCATGTCCATTGATTAATTTCATCCGTTGGTCCATATCTGTGTATTCTAGCACACAATAGTTAGTAAAAACAAAATAACCTAAGCCTATATATATATATATATATATATATATATAATATATATATATATATATATATATATATATATATATATATATATATATATATATATATATAGATGAAGATGAACATGAAGATTGGTCAAAAATAAATCTTAATTTTACTACTTGGTAAATATGACAAGGATATGGTCTGATGCATTTTTTAGTTGTGATATGGTCTGATGCATTTTTTAGTTGTTTTTTCTTTTGCTTTCTAAATATAGGAAAAGACCATTTTTGTTACATTTCACGTATCAATATCTTATAGTTTTTTTTTTTTTTTTTTTTTTTTTTTTTTTTTTTTTTACTAGTAAATATATTTGAATGATGTAATTAGCTAGACATTTATACGTTTAACTACTTTCTAATAAAATTTAAAGTACATCTCATATTTAAATTGTAATTAAATTTATATAGTTTATTTTAATTAGTTTCCAGCAAAAATACCAATCAACTACAATTAAGTTGTTTTAGTTTGAAGTTGATAATTTATAAAGTCGTATGACAATTTAAGAAACTGTGATACGATATAGTAGTTTAATCAATATTTCTGATACATATGAAAAACACGTAAGCAGCGAAACGTGGGCTCATATACTAGTAGAAAACAAATTATAACCTAAAATAACAAGTTAAAGTTTCCACTTTCCAGAGAAAAAAACAAATAAATCAAATTTAATATAGAATAGGATTATATCTAAAGCATAAAAGAAAACATATTATAAAACTACGAGTCATGTTATTTAATTTTTATTATGGTATGGTCCAAAAGACATTTGCATATGTTTTTGTAATTTGAGGTAACATTAATAACTTTTTGCCCATAACTTATGGTCTTGAGACCTCCTTTTGTCGGCCTTTAACGTATGTCGGGTTATTTTGTTATTCGTATATCTTCTCGCCGGTTCCAAAAAAACAAAAGTACAACTATTTTAAGCTGATAATATTCAATATTTATAAAACAAAACAAAACTACAAAGAAGACGCATCAAGAAACTGGAACATTCAGTAATTAACATATGTGAGAGAGAATGGTCATCTAATCATTTACTATATATGTCGTGAAAACTGCAACAGAGCAATAAAACTTGTAAAGAAGGAAAGGAGGAAAGTCTTTTTTTTTTCTTCTTTTTTATTTTATTATTATTATTATTTTTTGCATTAACATTTTTTTTAGTCATCAGATGTAAATAATGTTTTTGTAAAGATTAAATATAATATTGAGATCGGAAGGTTTTTGTATAAGTCAATTTGTAGTGACTCACACTGAACAAGAACCCAGATCGATGCTTCACACATCGTATACTATTTGTTGTTTATCTAGATATGCATGTGCATATATAGTTATGAAAGATATTGAAAGATGTTATGAACCAGTCTGGATTTTTTTGTAGTGTGATGTTGTGATTATAAATGCTTTTAGAGGAATAAAATCTATCTATGCCCATAATTCAATACTTTTGGCAAGATTTGGTTTGGTATCTATTTTGAGATCTCTTAATCTACACAAAATCATCTCCAAGATACTGTCTTTTTTTGTCATTTGGTATGATAGAGATTAATTTTTGTATATTTATTGAAAATAATTTTTATATAATGGTATTGATTTTTTTAGGGTATCTATGGCTAGTTTGTTTGACAATTAGAGTATCTATAATGATGAGTTCAATAAGACAGTTGAATGATGTGACAACTCTAGCTTCATTCAATGTATGAAAATGTGCCATTGTAATATGTCACATTGAAATTCAATGGTTTTTGAGTTCAATGGGAGAAAAAAAAACTTTTTAATCCTCTCTTCTAATAAAACATTACCCAAAATGCTACGTGACATTCCCTTAGCACCTCCACCTTGAATTTTCCCGCTAAAAACATGAAAGTGAATTTCCGACTTTGCCTATCCATTCGATAAATTTATTGTCTTCCTTCTTTCTAAAATTTTCAAATTTGAAGTTTCAATTAAACCATATATATCTGCAAAAAATTTGGAAAAAAATTTGTGTTACACTCTATCATACTCTATCTACGGAATATCAACCCCAAGAAATCAGGACAATCAATTTGAATTCCATTTAATAACTATAAAATAATGAAATATCATCTCTTTCTAATTTAAACATTTAAACATTCCTAAATTACCGATATTTCTATCACAAAAAAAAACAGGGTTTACAGTTTCCATTCGTATATATACATATACACGTTTACATGTTTACATTCTTCCTGTTTCAATTCCTATTTCAATTCTACATCAGAGATCAGAGATCAAATATTCATCATCTGTTTAGCTATTCTACATTGTTCTTTTTTACTTTTTCAAGTTGAATCCTCCTTACATTTGCAGAAATACTACAATCATCAAACAGTAAAGGAATCTGCTTTGTCTGTTTGGTAATAATTTCCAATCTTGACTTTATATATCATATAATCGTTTTTTCTTCACTGTTTGTACATTCAACAATTATTCGTGTTTTGTGGAGTACAATATCACGTACAACTCTTCTCATAAAAGTGGTGTTTGTTCATTGTTTGAATATATATACATCTACAATATCATGAATGATTAAACTTGAAAGTTTTTTCGTTTAATATATCCGTTTTACCCTTAATTGATTGGTAAACTTAATACAACACATTCATGTTCTTTCATCTTATGAAGGCGTCAGTATGAATGAAGTTTATGTACAACACGACTTCATCAGATTCATCAGATTTGGACCATTTTACCCCTAACAATTCAAGTAAAAGTATAATTTTTTAGCATAAAAGTTTTTGCATTTTCATATATGTTTCTTACAAAAAAGCAGAAAAAAGATTTTATGAAAGTACAATGCTATAATGTCCATTTTAAGATTTTCTGGAAAATGGTTGGAATGTATGCAAAAAATAGAATTTAAGCAAAAAAAAAAATGGTTATTATTATCATACAACAGCCTTAGTGTAACATATAATTTTCTAAAACAACAATGTAAAAAAAATATTTAATACACATACTCATACAAACTAAAAGTAAAAAAACATCACATAAAACAATCCGATGTTGACTTTCTTGAAGCAAAATTACTATGTAAAATGATCACTTTCTCTTTTACAATGATTAGTATCTTTATCAATAAATTTTCGTGATCAATGAAACTTTTAAACAACAATAATTAAGGAACTTGATTTGCTGTTAATAGCATTATACTTTCACATCACTTCATATAAATTTGATCTACTTTTTAATAAATAACCTTCTGTAATTCGCTTATTTTGTTTATTTTTGGTTAAATATACAAGTTTTTTTAATTGCAAGGGTGAAATGGACCATATTACTCCTATACATGAGATAGACTCAATCAAGGACGATTTTACAATTAATGTTCAGATCATACGTCTTTGGACTCAAAAGTCAAAATATGATCCAAACAACACATACTCGATAAAAATGATTCTGATGGACGAGGAGGCATAAGATGCATATATTCAATTATTATTTTTGTAAAAATTTATTCATCTTCATAAACCATTATATTTAAATAATTGTTATTTGTTGCTTTTTTAGGGAAGTAAAATTCATGCATTTTGTGTCAAGAAATGGTTTTCAAAATTCCAGCGCTATCTTAAAGAAGATCGTTCAATATACGTCGACAAACCAAACGTGACACCAAATATTTCAAAATTTAAGTGTTAGGGTGCAACGTCACGCTTGGATGTAATTAGTGCTTACCCTCTTGTTTGTGTAATGAGTTGTCTTTCCTATAAATAGGAAGTGAGTGACACTCATTTATGTAATGATCATGTTGGAGTGTTAGTTTTAGAGAGAGAAATAGCAAACCCA